TCTGCAGAGAAAGCAGCTTCGGGACTAATACCTGGCTCCCAAACCAGGTGTGTCAGCACCGTGGTCTTTTCTCCCGAGTCCGGGCCACCATCAGGGAAGGTGACAAAGAAGTGCCTGCTCTGCTCAGTGTGCATGGCTCTCAGGTGGCGGGGGTTTATTGAGAGGGACACTCCAGGTGGGCTGTCTTATGGGTGCAAGGGCACAGGGCCCATTGGGATAGTACCAGGGTAAGTGCTTCCTACAGCAGCAAGTTTAAAGAACAGACTTGCCCTTGGGTAGAATGCACTGGGGAGTGCTTGGCCTCTACCTCTGTCCAGACAGCCCAGGGAAGGGCTGGCTCCCGTAGGGGCTGTCCTGGGTGTGCCCTCGATGGAGATCTCATTCCTGGGGGCACACAGTCATGGGTCACCCCCTATCAGGCAGGCTCTGGCTACTTTGGTGGGAAGGCCTGGACCAATCCGACACTTGATCTTAGCCAAAAGGCTGAGAAGCCATCAGGCCTGGACCACCCTTGTGAGCTCCCTAACAAAATGGATGGGTCTGTAGTGATCATGTTTCAATTGGCCACCATGGAGCATTTGTGGCTCGCGCCTGATTTAAATAGCGGTGGGGCCATGAGTCTTCGGACCCCACTGCACTCTCACGTCTAGGGTCTTCCTCACCTAGAACATGCGTTCTCTGTCTCCTTAAGCTATATTTGAGAGTAGGGTCTCATTTGGACCCGAGCACAGTACTATCTGAGTCGGCTCTGACGTGGTGTGACCCGGTGTACAACAAGATGAACGTCCTCGGCCCTGCGCCATCCTCCCTGCCCTGGCTCTGTTTACGGCGGGGTCTGTGCCATGGGCCAACGGAAAACAAGTGTTGGTGGGGATGGTTTGGGGTTCTTTTCTGGCTGCTCAGAACAGCCTGGGCCAAGGAGGAAGTGCTGCCAGGTGGTTAAGGGCATGGGCCCTCTGGTCAAACCGCTGGGGCTCGTAGGCTTGAATCCTGGCTCTATTACACAATGCCAACCTTGGAGGAGAAGGGGTTAACCCTCCGATGCCTCAGTTTCCTCTTCTGTAAAAAGGCATTGATGATGACCGATACTAGTCAGTGTCTCGTTGGCCACTGGGGAAGTGATGATATCTGTCCGGTTGGAGCTGCAAGGGACCTTCCTCACCGAACCCTCACCAAGTGCTCCGAGTCCTCGGGGAAGTGACCTGTTCAGCGTCACTCAGCAAGGCCCAGGCTCCGAACCGTAACCTTCACCCGATTACTTTGTGCCTCTCCCTTGGACTGCACCCTGGCCCCAGCCTCTTCTAATTCTCCCAGCTGCCCCTCGTGGTGTGGGTGACACCCTAGAACAGGAGGCTCAGGGAGGCCGGGCAAACTGCCCAGGGCCACACAGTTCGAGCCTGGATTCCAATCCCAGCCTCCCTGACTCAAGAGCTCACGCTTGCCTGAAGTCCACGGGCCCTTTCCTCACCTCCAGCCTAGCACATACAAGGAATGGGAAGGGACCAGGGGAGCAGCTCCAAGGGCAAGAGGCGGAGTCCTGGGCTTGGAGGAGGGGTATACACTAGGTCTGAAGCTGGGAGGACAGGCTTCCCGGTGATGAGCAGGGTAGGGGGCTTGAATGAAGACTTTGGATGGCCAGGGCAGAAAGTGGATGAGAGGGGGCTGCTCCCCACATCTTTGGTGATGATGGGGTACCAGCCTTTGGTGAATGTACCAGATTGGGGTGCTGGGCCAGGGCGGGGAAAGGTCTGGCAGGAAATGTGTGGACAAGTTTGGATCAGGAGCCTTCTTCCCAGGGGTGTTGAGGGGTGGATGTGTGTGTCTGGGTAGGATCACTCTTCTTCCCAGCATGCTCAGGGTCAGTCTCTCCTCTCCGCGTTAAAGCATGCCATGTTGACAAGGTGGTTTGGGGTCCATGTAGTAACGCAACTTCCGTCTCTGTGTAACGATGGTATTATCTCATAGGACCCTCCACCCTCAATCCCCTTTGGTACCAGGACGCCTCTGTTCTTTGGGACCTCCTCAGCAGGATAGGAAGGCTGCACATCTGGCACCTGATCCCTGCTCCCCCACCCCCACCCCAAGAGCTCACCCTCTGTTGTCTCCATCTCCACCTTCCCTGCCCACTGATGGCCAGTGTCACCTGAGGTGGAGGTGAGTGACCCTGAGAAGTCACCCACCTTGCCTTTTTCAGACACTGGTCTGCACAACTCGAGCCTGCCCCAGGGCGGTGGGGAGATCTTTCTTTCAAGCATCTTCTCCTACTGCCATCCGGTCACAGTCACCAGTAGTAGCAAGGATCAGTGGGGGGTGGGGGAGGGCGTGCTGTCGACAAACTGTTGAAAGTAAGGCTACCTGTGAAGACCCCAGAGGAGGCAGTTTCCAGCCTCTTCTTCCATCCCTTCCCCCTCCATCCGGCCACTTAAGCCACTGCTGACCCCAAACGGTTCCAAAATGACCGCTCTCGTCGGGCCTATGGTTCCAAGCCCCGCTTCCTGGGGGATGCTTGTTCTCAAGAGAGATGACCAAACACCTCGGGGTGGCAGACAGTGTCAGTGCCTATCTCAACTTTGATGATGGTCCAGAGGGTGACAGCGAGGAGGGCGGAGGACGAGGCTTTCTGGGCTCTGCAGGTGCTGTTCCTAGGGCCTGGGAGGCCCTGCTCCCTCTAGCTTGGCTGGCCAGCATGGTCCCTCACCCTGAGGTCCAGTAAAGAGACCACCTCCTTTTTGGGGTCTTCTGAATGCACTATTTTCTGTTCATACAGGATACTGTCTACCTGTGTCCCCACTACCTGGTCGAACCATCCTGCACACCTCTCAGTCTGCTCCCATACTGCTGTCAGGCTGGGTCCAAGGCATGGTGCTCCTACTTGAGTAGAACTACCCCTTGGGGTTTCCAGGCCTGTAATCCCTACAGAAGCAGATCGTCTGTTTTCCTCCCATGGAGAAGCTGGAGCTCCAGTGGAGTAGAGGGTGATAGGGCTGGGCTGTTTGCCACGAAGTCAGCGGTTCAAGAACACCAGCTGCTCTGCAGAAGAAAGATGAGGCTCTGTATGGGGCCATCTTGGAGACCCACAGGGGCAGTTCTGCGCTGTCCTAGAGGGCTGCTACGACTAGTCAGAAGCGATTTGATGGCAGGGAGCTAGAGTTGGAGGGAGGACGTGCTGGGTTCAAACGATGGGGCTGGAAGTTGAGTGCTTCACTTCTGTGCCATCAGGGCTTCCTTAGACCTCGGCACAGCACTTAGTATTTGGTCCACCAACAGCTTGTGGCAAGTAAGGAGCCTGTGAGGTTACGGGACTCGTCTTAGCAAAAATGTGGATTTGAGAAATACATGTTGGCCCAAACCCTCTCTCGGTGGGCCAGGGCCTGTTTGGTCTTAGAGATTGATCTGGTGCCCGGGGCAGCCTGTTTGGAGCCTGCACAGGGCTGCTCCTCAGACCCAGACTGTGTTCTGGCTCACTTGTCTTGACTGGTGCCAAGGGCCGCCGGGGGCAGTGCGACTTTGCTGCTGTGCTCACTGCAGTGAGGTTTGGAGATGGTGTATTGTATCTTATAGACCAGCGGTTCTCAACCTGGGAGTCGAACGACCCTTTCACAGGGGTCGCCCAAGTCATAACAGTAGCAAAACTACAGTTAGGAAGTAGCAACGAAAATAATTTTATGGTTGAGGGGGTCACCACAACATGAGGAACTATATATATTTTTTATCATTTTATTGGGGCTCATACAACTCTTATCATAATACATCCATCGCGTAAAGCACATTTGTACATCTGTTGCCCTCATCATTCTCAAAACATTTGCTTTCCACTTGGGCTCTTGGAATCAGTTCCTCATTTTCCATTTCATGAGGAACTGTATTAAAGGGTCCCGACATTAGGAAGGTTGAGAACCACTGTCATAGTTCAAAAGAATCCTCTGATCTGCATGTCAGGAAGAGGCTTGCTTCTTTTGAGTAAAGGTGGCTTGTGTTTTTTTGACTTTGTAAGATGAGCTTCCCTTTGGCTCCTGGGAAGCTCAGAGACAATTTGTGACTCATTTCTTATGCTGTGCCATATTGCCTTGCATTCACTGCTCCTGACCTCTCCAGAACACAGTGGGCCTATTCTCAATCTTTTTTTTTTTAATTGGGTATTTCAAAATCATTTCAATTTTGTTGCCGAGACCATACACACCTTGGAGTGATGCCGCACTCCGTGCCCTCCTTCTGTGAGCTACTCCCCCCCTGGAACAAACACTTACTGCCTGGGTTGGGCACATGCTAGTCAGTCAGGCTCATTCTGGGAAGGGGGCAGGCAGCAGTGACCTGTAAGTGCACAGCCAGGTTCTCTGGTGACTTCAGGTAGTGGTGACAAGAAACCAAGTGGAAAGGAAGTGAATGCTTCTGGGTCATGCTCTGGGGTGTCCCAAAGTCAATGAGACACTGCCTCAGACTCCAGCGTCTCTGAGGCCTAAAGGGGGTCCTAGTCTCAGGGAAGACTGAAGCAGGCGGAGCACGGAGAAAATCAAACTGCTGGGCCGCTGGGCCACTGGGCCAGGCTCCTGGGCCAGTCTCTCTTCCTTATGTAAGTATGCATAAGCAGCATCTTACTGAATGAGGCCCCCTCCGCGTGCGGTGTGCCCCCATCCATGTGGACAGCCTGAGCTGCTTGGCCCCTTTGCCCTGCCCATCACTTGGCCTGAGAATAAGAGCCACGAGTCCCACAGAAGGCATGGCTGGTGTGGCCAGTCTCTAGAATCATCTTTGCTTATAAAGCGGAGGAGTCCGGCAACAGCCAAGCAGTATGTGAGGATGTTTCCAGATCCCTCTTGGCTCCAAGGGAAAACAATTTGCAAAGAACTTTGATCAAGGGGCGAGTTGGACGAGCGCTGGGCAGTTGTCATCTGGAGGAAGGCTGTCCCAGGAGAGTGGGTGGTAGGTGCTGGAAACCCAGCCGCCTCCAAGCTGCCGTATATCTGCCTGTGGCTCAGGGTGGATTATCCCGGGGCCTTCCTTACCTGCTGCTCTGCTCTCTCTTGCCCGCAGCTCTGTCGAAGATGCACTGGACACCGGAACACGCCCAGCCCCTCAACCAGTGGCCCGAGCAGCACCTCGACGTCTCCTCCACCACCCAGTCACCGGCTCACAAGTTGGAGCTGCCCCCCGGGGGTCGCCAGCGCTACCATTATGCTTGGGCCCACGATGACATCTCCGCCCTCACTGCCTCCAACCTTCTCAAGCGCTACGCGGAGAAGTACTCCGGGGTCCCGGACTCACCCTATGAGCGCCCCACCTTGGGAGGCTACGGCGATGCTGCCTTTCTCAACGGTGCCAAGGGGGACCCCGAGCCCTGGCCAGGGCCGGAGCCGCCCTACCCTTTGGCCACGCTCCACGAGGGCCTCCCGGGAACCAAGTCGCGCGGTGGGGGCGGTTCCGGAGGCCTGGGGGGTTCTCCGGTTTTAGCCGGCAACCTGCCCGAGCCCCTCTAC